TCTTTGTCCTTGTAAACATAATGTGGGTAAGGGCCATGCCTGGTTTATTTAACACTGTCCACCTATCACCTTGCCCAGTGACTGGAAGATATTAGATGCTCAAAAAATATTGGCCGAATACATGGAAAATTATTGAAGAAAACTGAAGGCTCGGCTTAAATGATACTGCCCCTCCACTTTCTCAGGTTTCCACGGCACTCTGCATCTCTCTTGGGGCACATTATCACAGGTGTTAGAGTTATCTGAGTCTTCTTTCCCTATCATGCTGTGAGCAACTTAAAAGTCTTATTTACTGATACTCCCCACAGCACCCTACCTAATGCCTAGCACATAAAGGGTTCTTAACAGTAGATGAATTCATGCACACATACACGAAAGGATACATGAAGGCTGCAGTCTCTGACCAATCACAGAATGGCAGTTTCTCCTACCCAGTGGACCACAGCACAGAACACAAGCCCCTTTGAGATATGCAAAACATGAGACTCTGCCCAGGGAGAAATTAAAATTAGAGTTAAACTTGAAACGCAGTGGTATTATGTGGGTGAGGGGATGGGGAGACAGGCCCTTAGTCGAAAGCCAGAGAAAAAATATGTTTTTCTGTACTGTCTAGCTTTCCTTCCTTGAACATGTTCTAATTTTGGAATCAGAAAAAAACCCACAATAAATGTTATTGTGTTATTAAAATCCAGTGATTTCAGACTGCAAAATCACCCATCCCTATGTTTCCTCACTACAACTTGAGACTCCGGATTCAGGGCCCTCTCAGGTGGGGCCCCTACATTCTGTAAGGAAGACATCCTTGCATTCCTCTGAAGCCATGGTGGATAGGAAGGTGCAGGGATAGTGAGCGCTTCAGCGGGGGCAGCTCTCAGCTGCCCCCTAATGCAAAGGCTGGCAAAGCTCTGAGAGGCAGAAACAGGACAGTATGGGAGCAATCAACCCAGCTCAAGATCAGGACCTCTGCTTGTTGCTGATCCTCTGCCTGGCACTGTGTAGCACTTCTGAGTATTTTCTCTCATAGTACTTTTCACATGCCACTGTAATTATTCATTTGCTTGCCTATCTTCCCTGATGAACAGAGAATGCCACCCCGTTCCTCTAGCCCAGTGCTTAGCACTAGTAGGCCCTCAATATACATTTTATTGAATGTTAGAGACCACACTTATAAAGTACTAAACATAATAACTGACCTAGGTCCCTGGGACATAATAAGAATGCATTAGTCATCAAAGACTTCATCTCCTTAGTGCCCTGAAGGTCCACGATTCAGTTCTGAAGAGCCAAGTGGAAGCCAGTAATTTCTTGGAAAATTAATGAGCCTTCTTTTAAAGTAAGGAAATGCTGGCTTCTTCCAGTAAGAGTGGATGGATTCTCACCTGCAATTCAGAATCACTCAGCATCGAGCTGACTGCAACTTTAAAGAAACCACTCCTTAAAGGAGCAGTATTCGTAGTTTTCACAAGGCATTTCTGAAGGATTTCCAGGAAGTAGTGAGCTAAGCCTCGGGTCATGATTAATAAACTATTTCCAAGAACTTTAGATTTTCCACCTCTGTCTCCACTTGGGAATTACTTCTGGCCCCTTGTGAAAACACTGAGTTCACTGGGTAAGCGCAGCTTCTAGACACAGGACCTGCTTCCAGCTTTTTCCTTGAGTGGCTGGGGCAGGGTCCTCTGATCCCAGGAGAATAGTACCCACTTCTGCATTTGGCCTCAGCATTGGCTGGTTGATTTGAAGTTCAGCCTCACTCACTGGGTGACAGGAAATAGTGCTGAGGCTTGAAGAGCCAACATGGCAGCTCCAGGGTCCATCACAGGGGGCTTCAAAACTGATGAGTACAAAGATAATTTCAGGTTCCTCAAACAAATGTCATTCTATGACTGAGGGGCAGATGCCTGTGTACACTGGCTAACATTCACTTTCTGGAAACTGTAAAGCAGCAAATCCTGAGCATGTACTTTTGTACCCACTTAGTGCTTTATGAGCCTTATCTCATTCCTCAGCGCAGAGCCATTTTAAGGTAGGTTGATTGTCACCCCCACTTTATAGAAAGAGAAGCAGATTCTGTGAGGTGAAGTAATCTATCCAGGATCTCTCAGCTAGGAGGTGGTGAGGGCTGAGCTCTTACCTGCTGTCAAGCTACAGCTTAGGGTTTACAAACCCCTCAAACCCATTGTGCAGACTGGGTCACAGACTCCTCACATGCCTGGCTGGGTAAGAGACCCCTCACATGTGGGTCCACGCTAGGTAACTGAGAAAGATCCTGGGAGCCCTTGGCAGATGACACCAACTCAGTCCTCAGCAGCAGTGGTAGCAGTAGCAGGAGCAACAGCAGCTTACAGCAGCCTCCAGCAGCAGTGGCGGTGCCTCCCAGAGGGTCCTCGGGACACTGGCAGCAACAGCCTCCAGTAGTGGCCTCCCCATGACCCCCCTGGGGACATCCCGGGGGCGAGGGGGGGGCCCTGTGGATCAGAGCCACTAATCTTTTATACTTAAGTCCATAACCCAGGACACTTGGGTGCACATGCGCAATTACATTAGACAATAACCAAGGAACACCTGGGCACATATTTACAACAAATGCTCAGCAAGATCCTGAACATCTGAGGAGTCCTGACCATTTTCCTTCACTTTCCTACACCTGCCATCCTCACCAACTTCTCATTGAACCCTAGATTGTCTAAACTGACAGATACTGTGAACACCAACCAATCCCAGGGTCACAAATGCCCACAGGGGCCAGGGGCCAGACAGGAGACTACAGAGCACAATAGACTGGGCAGGGGAATGGCGCAGATGGTAATAAACTGGAGAACACACCTGCCTAAAGGCATTCAAATTAAAAACAAAAACAGAAACACTACTCTGACTTCGATTCTAATTCAATCCTCCTCACTTAGATGGAGAGACTGAGATGCAAGGAGATGATGTGGAAAAGGCAGCATGTGTGGTGGAAAGTTCAAGGGCTTCAGGGAGAGCCAGTTCTCATTAGGAACTCCAGCTCTATATTAAGTGAAATAAGTCAGGCCAGAAAGAGAAATACCACGTGTTCTTATTTGTGGGAGCTAAAAATCAATCAATCAATAAATATACAAACAAATGGGAGGGTGGGGAAGAAGACACAACAATCACAACAATTCCTTGAACTTGTTAAGACAAGTGAACAGATATGATGTTGATGGGGGGAGGGGGGAGAGGGAGGAGGGAAAGAGGAATTGGTAAAGGGACACAAAAATCAACTACATTGTATATTGGTAAATTAAAAAAAAAAAAAGGAACTCCAGTTTTATCACCTGCTAGCTGTGAGACCTCAAGCAATTCACTTTACTTCTCTGTGCAAGGAACTAGGAAGATGGGCTCTAAGTTAACACTGAGGAAACTGTGTCTCCTTAGTGTCCATGTGCCAGGCTTTCAACTAGGCAATGGAGCATACTGACGGGATAGACAGACACACAGAGAAGGTGCATATGGTCTATTGGAGGCACAGAAAATTGAAGTTCTGCCAATAATTATGTAAACACAGTTCAGGTAAATATTAGGTAGTTCTTTTGATATGGGAATATATTATGAACATTTACCTTCAGTCAATGGGGTTAGGGAATGATAATACTGACCGTCTAGTGTAAAGGGTTGAGAATGACACAGAGCCTACCACTTAAGAGGTACTCAATAATGTCAATCTTTTCTTTTGCCTCTCCCCAAGTGTGCATGCTTGTCCATGCATACACACACACACACACACACACACACACACACACACACACACACACCCATGTCACTGAGACTTTTTCTTTTCTTTTTTTAGGAACATAAAACCTGAAAAAAATCTTGAAACTCAGAAGTATGTTGCCTGTTTTACGTACTTTTTAAACTGTCTTACAGGCATCAGTTTTTAGCCACTCTGGGATACTGAAAACCTAGGGTACTTTGCTCCTGAAGCTGTAAGGGTCCTCCTCAAAAAGGTAAGAAATATGGATGGTTTATTTCAAGATGAATCTGTAAATATAGAGATCATCTATTTTTTCTCCTCATTTAGGTACAAATGAGGAAACTGAGGCCCAGAGAATATGAAACACCTGCCCAAGATCACATAGTTTCCTTGGGTGTCCCTTCTAATATATGGTGTCTTTTTGTTTTTTAAAGCTGAAATCTTTCTCCTTTAACAGTAAGTTTTCAAATATATTTAACCTGCTAACAGGGGAGGTAGGTTTCAGCACACTGCAAGCCATCTCAAGCCACCTGAGAACCCTTAGCTCAGGGACCCCACAGGTAAGGGATCAGGGGGCAACAGGGCCCCCTCCCTTCCCCTATGCACAGAGTGGCTTCATGAGGTTAAAATCCTGAAAACAGACAAGAACAAATAAAATGCCTAAGGGCTTACATGTTTATATTATAGGCATAAACAGCAAATTTTTAAAAGGAAAAATAAGAAGTTCACAGAGGCAAAGTTAAAGATTTTCAACCCTTCTTTGCATCTTGAAGTTTTCCATACAGCTACTGTAGCATTGGGGTTATATGTGATCTAACCATATATGTACCTGAAATTTAACATATTAATCTTATATTTGTGAGGGGAAGATTATAGAGGATTTTCACTTTCAGAGACATTTCTTCTACAATGTTTAAAATTTTTTGTACCATCTTTGTAATCAGAAAAAAATAAAGGTCTGAAAAACACCAATTTCTAAGGGAAGACTTATTTCTTCACCTATATTTGGGGCAAGAAGCTGCTTTTAAAGCTCTGTCAAAGTTCTTTGGGTAAGAAAGTAAAACAGCATTTGAATGGAGCCCATCTTGAGACCTGAGGCTCCGACTCTAGCCCTAGGCAGTTTTAGACAAAGCCATAATTTTCAGAGCAAGCTCACATATATCATAATATAAAAATAGACACTTTGTGACCAACAAGCTGGAAAGCAAGCTCTCCAGAGAGCTCTGCCTCGAAGCTCTGCTTTTCCCTGGAGGTGGGGGGCAGAGGAGGAGAGTGAAGTTCTACTTACAAGAGCAAAGTTTTCTCCAAGTCCAATGGTCCTGCCGGAAGGGAAGGTAGAATTTAAGAAGCCAGGATTCAAGATTAGCAGTCCAGACCTATAGTGCAGGCAGGAGTCTCTCTTGCCCTTTCTCTCTCTCTCCGGGTCTCCTAAATGAAAAGCACTTCGAGGTTTTAGTGGGTGTTTCCCATGCCTTGGGCCAAGTAAGTCCCCATTTGTTGTAATTCAATGCTCGGCCTGATGATGTCAACCACTCGACTCACTTGCTCAATTTCCACCTCTCTGTCCATGGGAGAGATCCATTTCCTTTGGACAATGAGCTAGGGGGCTGTAACTACACCCCAGGCCCGTCACATTTGCCTAACATCCTTCCTTCAATTTTTACCCTGCAGCCTTAGCGACAAAAGGCTTCCTATCATGTAAATTCCTTTGCTTCTTAGTTACTGCCGACTGTAGGCTATCCAGTTTACTTTGCAGTATTTTAATACATTTCTTTAGTATAAAATATACTAGTTAGGATGAATCTTCACCCCACCCCAAGTCCATCTCTTTCTTCCTGCCCAATTTTCCAAGTTGTTAAATTTCTCCATAAAGTTTCCTAGATACATGCTGGGCACAGTACGTGAGTTTGCCCTCCATGTAGGGAAGATGACGTGTGCCCACAGAAAATGCCCGGAAACAGTATTGGTCTGTTGCCTGGCGAACTGGGTTCTGGTCTTAGTCACGCCCCCAACTGGATGAATGGCCTCAAGCAATTTGTCTTCTTTTCTGGACCTCAGTTTCCCCATCAATAAAATGATGGTTTTGGTGTCTTTCACTTCTGAAATGCCATGACTAAACATCCATGACTGACAAGCCTATCAACAAATGCATTATAAGGCATTTTACCAACTACATGTTTGAGGGGGGGAAAGAACTCTGGAGAAATTAGAGGCCATTGCCACAGATGCCAGGCTCAGCTGGGCTCCTTTAATCCCCTTTATTGTGGAGCAGAACAGTTTCTCTGGGAGAAAAACCGAAAGAATTCACTGAACAAGTCCCGGTGGACATGAAGAGACAGTATAAACTACTAGATAAAATAAACAAATAAGAGAACTTAATTTCCCTTAGGGAGTAACATGGAACAGCACTGGTTACAAGAGACAATAATAATCCTTTGCATTTGTAGAGTTCCTGATGGTGAAGACATACATGTATAAAACCTCTCTACTTTTATGTACAACGGGAAGCAATCTGACATACGTAGTGATAAGGAACATCATTTGGGAGCCAGAGATGTGGATCTGAGTCATGTGTGACATAATTTCTCTGAAGTTCAGTTTTTTTAAACTGTAAAATGGGATACTAATGCTTCCATTTTAGGAATATAAGCGTTAAATAACACATGTAAGGAAACTGAAAGTATTTGGTACACATTAAGTATTGAATAGATGTTAGCTCTCATTGTTGTACACAATCTCATTTGATTATGATAACACCCTTAGGAGAACTAGATATCCAGGGGCTGCATTATTAATCTTTCTTTCCTGGATAGGAAAATGAAACAGAGAAGTTAAGTGACATGCCCAAGGTCACACAGCTCAAAATGAAAGGCCCAGAATTAAAAACAGTCTTTTAACTCCTAACTAGGTCAGCACATATGCCACACACATACCAATGCTATTTCTCAAAATGGTTACTCCACCCAGCCTGGTAAAGGAAGCACTTAAAACCACTGGGTCAGAGGGGTGCTTTGCTACCAAAATACTGTGCAGCCTGAAGCAAGTCTGGGCTTCAACTGCCTCTCCCCAAAAGGGACAGATCGGATCTGTTTTAATACTATTTCAAAGGGGATGGGAATCTAGGACTGGAGCTCTACTGGGAAAGAAACTTTTTATAGATGGGAGTAAGGTTGTGGTAGTTTATGACTTAACAAGAATTTTAATTAGTTCTCAGAAAACTTTGATGCTTATCAGGAAAGGCCCAAGCAAACAGGCTAATCTGAAGGCTTTACAACAAGTTGGTGTAAGACTGTCGTGGAATAAAAAGAACACCAGCCTGGTAACCCACGGAGAGCAGCAGTTAACAGCTTGGAGAGATCTGGGTTTCCTTCTGGTCTCTGAACCTTCTAGCTGTTCATGACCTTGGCCAAGTTGTTTAACTTCTTTATGCCTTGGTTTCCCAATGTAAAATGAGAATAATAATAGCATTTACCCTATAAGGTTGTTATGTGGGTTAAGTGCCTGGCACATAATGTAAGTTCAAAAATACTTGCAAAAATAAGTTGCGATGTCTTAATAGTAAGGACCTTCTTTTCCTTTTTTTTTTTTTCTTTTTGTCTTTTTTCGTGTCCGGCAATGGATCGCAACCCTCAGTGTCGCGCCCGTACCGGACCAGGACCGGCAACGGGATCGCAACCCTCGGTGTCGCGCCCGCACCTCGCTCAGCCAGTGAGCGGGAACCGGTCTGTACGTGGGATCCGAACCCTCGGCGGGAGCGCCGCCTCGCTCCCAAGCGGCGCACTGTAGCAGTGTGCCACCGGGCCGGCCCAGGACCTTATTTTCTAGTTCTGACTCAGTTTCACCATGTGCAGCCCTGATGATGATGTGACAGTGAAATAAATTCAAGAATGTCGGGAAGTCAGAAGAAAGGTCCTGTATTCCTCTAGAACGTCAGGATGAGTAATGTACAAAAGCCCACTGAGAGCTGTCAGGCATGTTTTCAGCAGCAACACTCAGCTTGGAGTGATCAGAGGCTGGGGCAACTGTTTGGCTGTGCCTTTCCAGAAGCCGAGTTGGCGTCAGGAAATGAAGCTGGGCTCTTGAGACAGGTCAGCTTACTGACATTGTCCTTGGTGCTTTGAATCATGTTTTGCTACTTGAACAAAAATAATAGTTAAGGAGCCCATTCATAGAAACAGCAATATCATTTTCTTCAGCAATACATACTCTGTAACACTTACTTTGTGGACTGAATAATTCTACATCTGTGACAGAATCCTTGAGAAGAGAACCATGACAACACCAGCACACTCATTTTGTCTTGTAACTGACAAGAGAGGGTACACTTTGTGCACTGGGGCCACACTCTGCAGAGCACTCTATAACCACCACTTCATGTAATCCTCACAACGATCAGGTGCAGGAGGTATTATTAATATTCACACCTTACAGCTGTGGCAATGGATGCGTGGAGAGGCTGGCCAACCTGCTCAAAGAGTCACAGGAGTAAGTGGCTGAGCCCATGTTATAACTCAGAACTGTCTGGGGTCAGGCCTGCATTGGCACCCCCTTGCTCTACTGCCTCTTAACGGGCTTTCCTGCAGGAAATGCGGCTGTTCTTCACAGACAGCAGTATTGGCTCCATTGGGTCTCCCCCTTTTCTGAATATCCTTAATACTATCTATTTCTCTCTCAAGAAACTTATCCTTTTCTCCTTTGAGGAATATTTATTTCTGGGAGATCTTATTCCTCTGCTAGAATCTGAGCTTCTCAAGGAAAAGATCTGTATCTAATTTAGCAGTATTTTGCACATATTATAAGACACATTAAAATAAGAAAATCCATAAACAAAAACAAAAACTTTCATTTGCCAGGTAATACTCTAACTGCTTTATATAAATTACCTCATTTAATCCCCACAAGAATCCCTATGAGGTAGGGTAGGTATAATTATTTCCACTTGACACACGAGGAAACTTCAGACTCAAATTAATAGAATAATTTGTTCAACTAGTAACTGATGAATATCTGTTGAAAGAAGCGTATGAATGAATAAATTCTGGCCTCCACTAACCACTTTCTAGTCCAAACAAATTCTGTAAAGTACAAGCTCTTCACCCCATCAAAGGCGGGCTTCAGTTGTCATGCTATTTTAAACCCACTTATTCACTACACCATACAGACAGAAGGTCCACGCTTTTTCTAGGCAATTAATTGGGAAGCAAATTGACTGAGATTTATAAGTAAAAGTAGATTTTGTCTTCTTTCCAATTATAATCATAAATGTTTATTATGAAACATAGGAAAAAAGGGAAGAAAATCGTCTATAATCCCACCACCCAGAAATCACCAGAGTTAACCTCCTAGTGTACAGCCCCGAGAAGGAACCACACTTACACTCAAAACAATGTTTTGAAATTACAAACTTAAGTCATTTTATGGGGAGAGAGGAGTCAACCCCACAAAAGATGACAAAGACATGTTCGATATATTTTTCTGGTTTTGGAGTATACCTGGCTGCTTTTTCTTCAGGGTTTGATGTTCTAGTCCCCTTTGGACTGCTTCTGCAATGTGTGGATGGTTAGCTTGCAGGAGAAGTGAAGCCTGACCCCCAGTGAGTATGTGCTTACAAAATGGACAGGTTTGGGCCGGCCCGGTGGCGCACTGCTACAGTGCGCGTTCCTGCCAAGGGTTCGGATCCCACATACAGACCAGCCGCTCACTGGCTGAGCGAGGTGCGGGTGCGACACCAAGGGTTGCGATCCCGTTGCCGGTCCCGGTCCGGTACGGGCGCGACACTGAGGGTTGCGATCCGTTGCCGGTCACGAAAAAAGACAAAAAGGGGAAAAATCGTATAACTTCGTATAATGTATGCTATACGAAGTTATTACGCTTACCAGTGCCCTGCCACTATAAATGTTATGTTTTCTGTATTTCTTTTTCATCACCAAACTGTTTTTCTGTCCTACAAATGTATTCTTCCCTGCACACATTTGAGTACCCTGTAAAATAAAGTCCTAATTATAGCATTAAAATACCTTTATTTTCTTTTGGCCTAATTCTATATTAAAGAAATGCTATGTTGTCAGAAGAAAAAAGACAAAAAGGGGAAAAAAAAAAAAAAATGGACAGGTTTGCAGGATACCATACTGTCCCCTCCCTGCCTTCTTACGCCTTCTTTGGAGCTTCTTCCTGCCAACTAGCAATAAGTTTCAGACTGGAGGTGTTGCCCCCGCTCCTCGCTCAGCCAGTGAGCAGCCGGTCTGTATGTGGGATCCGAACCCTCGGCGGGAGCGTCGCCGCGCTTCCCAAGCGGCGCACTGTAGCAGTGCGCCACCAGGCCGGCCCTCACTCAAGTTAATTTTAAACAATCTCAGATTCATTGATTTTTATAGCTGAAA